ATGATTGAGTTATTTCATTAGAACTAAATAAATATTAGCCATAATTAATGTCATAATAATTATCAACCAGGTACGGGCAATTCAGTGCAGAGACTATTGTCATTTAAAAAGAGATTTATAAACAAATACATATAGAAAGAGAAAGCAAGTCCCTAAGGAAGTAAAGAAATTACCCAGTGGTTGAGGATTTGAAGGGGAGGTGAAGGTTCAGGATTTCCTTGACTGCCATATCACGATGTTTGGGTCTGGGATGTGACTAAGAAAAAAAAATGTTTTAAAAAAACTGTGTTCATAAACAAAGGAGGAGGCTGCAATACTTGGTAAGGAATGTACGCATTATCCTGCCCATGTAATTATAACCCCTCTGTACAGTATGTTCACAAATAAAATAAAATATTAAAAAAAAAAGAACTGTGTTCAATGGATGCATCAGGATTCCTCTTTCCAGACTCTAGGAATTTTAAATATCAAACAACAAAGGCCTCTCCCTTCAGATCACAGAGGCAGAGACCACTGCAAAGAGGTCTCAGTACCAGGTAACCCCAGGTATTACTGGCATCTGAACCCAGTGTTTTGAGCTAACTGTATCCAAAGCCAAACTAGAGCTAGGAGGATGAATAAAAGGATTCCAGATGCTTATAAACAAGTACAGAGCAATGCACTTGTTCTGTCTACCTAAAGAAACCCAGGAAAATAAGTCATTTCTCCTCCAGCCCAGTACTGAGGTCCTCAGGGCCCTGCCATATTCTTACCTCATTTCTGCTGAGAAATGAGCCCTCTGTGGACAAGCAGAGTACATTCTCTCCCAAAAGGGTCTTTCCACAATCTGTTCTCCCATTTGGATAGTTTTACCCCTCCAAACCAGAGGGAGCTAATTCTATTGTTCCAAATAAGTCACTTCCCTGGCAACTTGCAGGACAAGTTGGTGTTCTCCATGTTCCAAAGCCAAGGTGACACTACTGTGCCAGGCCGAGTGCTCCTCCTTACGAGAATCAATTTATTTTACACTCAGGATAAGTGAAACTTTAATGGAATAAGATATACAGATATAAATCCCCCTCTGTTTCTGCACTTCATATTAGATCAAGAGGGTCTAACTATCAGTTTTGTAAAGAAAACGTTTGTTTTGACGCCTACTTATGCCAAACTTCTCTTTCTGTGAAGTTCACATTTGTTTTGTGTCACTGGTCTTCTCAACAACTTTGTAAAAGGTGTTTCCAGCCTCCCACCTTCTCTGACCACTCTGGCTTGGCAAGTTTCCTTGCCAAGAGAGAACTTAATCACAGTGGCTGCCATGATGGGTGGCCACATGTGAAGCCGAGTAGCAGATGGCTGACCACAGGGGCCGTATCTGGGAAGGGATGACATTCATTGACAGCCAAGAAAGAAAAGCGAATAACCCTTTCTGTCAGGACAGCCAGCAGAAAGAAAGATCACTCGGCACTTGTTGCCTATAGCAAGCTTAGTTTAGGAGACAAGCAACTATTAACTGAAATTCTCAATAATCACTGTTAGTGACTGTGAAGGCTTATTATGGTATCAGGTTGAAATGGACATCAGTGTCTTCCCACGGTAGTTAGTTTCCAAGTTAGCATAATTCAATTTCAATAACATCAATATGCATTTGCTTGGAAATCCACAAAAATCCCAGCTGAAATATGAAAGGAATTTAATTTGCCCCTGTGAGAACTACACTTGACTAATTTCATGCTATAACTCAATAAATACCAGTTCTCCAGGAGCAGATGGAGGGAAAATCACACCCTATAGTATATCATTTATATCACACATTTGGAAATTTGAAACTGGCTTAAGAAAACATTCAAGAACTGAAAGATAGAATTATGAAAACTTTGTGGAAAAGAAAAATATCCTAGTTTAACAAGCCAATTGGGTCATTCAGGACACAGCTTACATTAGTTAATGGATCCTTCATGCACTTTGTTTTCTTTTTGTTTTTGCCAGTCCTAGGGCTTGAACTCAGGTCTGGGTAATATCCCTGCTTCTTTTGCTCAAGGCTAGCATTCTGCTACTTGAGTCACAGCGCCACTTCTGGCTTTTTCTGTTTATGTGGCACTGAGAATCAAACCCAGGGCTTCATGCATGCTAGGCAAGCACTCTACCACTAATCTACATTCCCAGCCCCATTTTCTGTTTTCTTGATATATACCAAAAGTTGCCATAAAAAGTGAAATGTGGAAGCTGGAACATGTGTTGTTGGGAGAAGGGCCAAAGAGAAGGAGGCAGACAAATGGAGAGAGGAAGGGCAGGCAAAGGAAGTCATAATATTCAATGTATATATGGGAAATTAAAGGTAAATTAAAGGGATGGACGAAGTTGAAAGAGATGGAAAAAATGAAATGAGTGACACTGACCAAGATGCATTGTACTTACAAAATGACATACCAATTTGAAAACCCTTTGCACAACTAAAGGATAATAAAAAATAAATTAAAAAGCTGAAATTTTGGAGACCTTTGAGAATTAAAAGGGTTAGTATTGTGTATGTAGTAAGCTTCCTTGGGTTACCTACCTCCTTCCTTCCTCTGTCATCTGTAAGGCCCTGCAGTGTCTACCCTCAGATGCTGGTGCTTTTCCTCTCTACTGTGAACACTAGGAAGCAATATTTCTTAGACAAGGCCTCATTATTTCTACCGAACACATCCTGTTCATCAACTAATTGGGTGACGACTAGAGATAATGTGTTCTCTACAGGCTCTTTCTTTAACCATTTGTAAGCAAATTCTTTACACAAGATCTACGAAGTGCTGGAGCAGGATTGTAATTGTGTTGGAACTTAGGTGTTAAAAATGGCAGCCTTTCAAAGGACATAGCTAGCAAGATCAATTAAAAACCCATGGGTTGGAAGAAGATCTTCACTAGCCATACAACTTGGAACTCAAAAAATTAAATCCCCCAACAACAAATCCTCAAAGAAACAACTACCTGATAAATAAGTGGGCTAAAGACTTAAAGAGAAACTTCTCTGAAGAGGAAATAAGAATAGACACATGAAGAAATGCTCAGCCTCTTTAGTCATAAAAGAAATGCAAATCAAAACAACATTGAAATTCTACCTCACTCCAGTTGGAACGGCTATAATCAAGAACTCTAATAACAACAGATGCTGGAGGGGATGTGGACAGAAGGGAACCCTACTGCATTGTTGGTGGGAGTGTAAACTTGTCCCTCAAAAGACTCCACATAGAGCTCCCCTACAACCCAGCAATCCCACTTTTGGGCATTTACCCAAATGATCACAAACAAGGCCACACTAAGGCTACCAGCACAACTATGTTTATCGCAGCATTATTTACCATAGCTAAGATATGGAAGCAACCCAAATGCCCCTTAGTAGATGAATGGATCAAGAAAAAGTGTTTTATACACACACACACACACACACACACACACACACACACACACAAAATGGAATTCTATGCCTCCATCAGAAAGAATGACATTGCCCCATTTGTTAGGCAATGGAAAGACTTGGAAAAAATCATATTAAGTGAAGAAAGCCAGGCCCAAAGAAACATAGGTCCCATGGTTTCCCTTATCTGCAATAACTAGTACATGTGTAGGACAAGCAGAAAAGGCCAAAAGCTATGTACATATGACAATATAAGATGATGTTAAGCAAAATGAACCCCAAGAAAGAGATACAAATATCTTTTTTTCTTTCTTGCTATTGTTTCTAACATATTTATAATGTACCACGTGATTTTTTTTTTTTGTTGCCTTGTATGTTCCTCCCCCACTGTATTTGATGTCGGTGCACTGCATCTTGTATATACACTTCTCTAATTTGGGGAGGGGAAGGGAAAAAACAAAATGCTTAAATAAGGATATAGGTTGACCCTTGTAACAATGAGATGTACAAAACACTATGTTGAAAACGAACTTTACAACTTCAGTTGAGGGGGTGGTGGTAGTTGTGGAGGTGGGAAGGAAGGGAATGTAGGGGGGAAAACAAAGGAGGAGGCAACAATGCTCAATAGGAAATATACTTACTACCTGTTCATGTAAGTGTAACCCCTCTGTACAGCATTTTTACAATAAAAAAAAAAAGAAATGGCAGTCTTTGTAAGGAAAAAGTAAAATGCTAATAAAGGTAAATCATGATAAAAATAAGTGGGACCAATGTCTGGTTAGCTATTACAAATCAGCAGAAAAGTATCACCTCATTCATTTCATAATTACTTTTATAAAATTAATTACATTTGATTCCCCAGAATCTACAAATGCTGAACCTAAATGTTAACTGTCATTCAAATGGCAACAATTTGGGGACAGAAAGAGGGCTAAAGCAGTTAAACTTTTATATTTAAATTTATAAAAACCATTTTTAAAATTAAGGGTACTTTGAGTCCTAGACCAGAAATTCCCAAACTGTGTAAACCATCCCCATTCCTTTATAATACCTTTGCTTTTGTAGTTTAAGAGATCTGTCATTATAAAGTACACAGAAATAAGAGATTCATTTAAAAAACACATTTCTCCTTGTATCTGTCTTTGCTTTGTTGTTTCCTTTACTTCCTGCTTTTAGAAAATATTACCTTGTATTTCATACATTCTTACAAACCTTAAATACTCTAGAAGGAAGAGGGAATCAAAATAGAATAAACATACTAATAAATTTGTAGCTATGAGTATTCCCATTAAGGGAAATGCTTCCATTTACAGAGAGATATTTAAGAGTTGTTCTTCAAAGGTCAGGATACTGGGCTTGGAGACTTTAGGTGAAAGAACTGAATTACTGTGAAGGATCTTCTTCTGAGATTATATGAAAGGTATCTGCTTACCAAAAGATATGCACATTGTGTTTCTTGGTGGACAAAATGAATATAATAAGAAAGTTGGGGTTGGGATGACACAGTTTAACATAGTTTAGCCACACAAATCTCTGCTTTCTGGTGCTTACTTTGGAGACATAGTGCATATACCATCCATAAGACTAAGATCTGTTTTCATCACATGACAACCCATAATTTACTCACCATGTATGCCCGAAAGTATGCAGGAATAAAGGACTGATTGGATAGGCTGAGGATCCTCGTAGAGTCCTTTAAGACATAGATTTCGCCAAAATCAACTTGATGAGGATGTATGTAGATGACTGGGCCTTCTCCAATGCTCTTTACCTGACAAACCTATGTTCCAGGCAAGAGGAGGAAACAGGATCAGCTGAAAATAGCTAGCAGGGTCATAAAATCATGGTTATGGGAACTGTTCCCACTGGTACTCTGTAATCAAAGGGATGCACAGGTGGCCATTTAGGGTCAGGACATTTAGAATATAGCCTAGAATTCCTCCCTAGGGATGGTCATCTTCCCCTGAGCCCACACTAAGGGGAAATAAAGAGGGCTGCTCTGTCCCACAAAGCTCTCTTCCTTCAACAACATTCAGAGATGGAGTTCACAGCTATGCTTCAGCATCAGATGGCATTTGGTTTGAGTCTTTGTTCTGTCATTTTACTGGAGGCAGGGTATTGCACACAACTGTGCAGGTGGATCATAAAATACACTTGGCATTATGTGTGCCAGAGAAGATGGGCCCTTGTCTTTTATAGCACACTGTCTGTCCTCCTCGTAAGCTGAATCTACAGGGTGTAGTGGTGTAATAGTGAGCAGAGAAGGAGATATGATGTCAAATTTTGGGTTGACCTGCCTTTCTGATGATGCTTTGTAAATCAGACCACATATATATGGCATCTTATAGGGAAGAATTAAGAGTAAAATCCTACCAGAGGTGGGGAACCACCTCTGCAAGCTGGTATCAACATTTACCTTGCTATTTAAAAAGTACTACAGGTTGACCCATTGTAACAATGAGATGTACAAGACACTATGTTGAACAACGAACTTTACAATTTAGGTGGGGGGAAAGGGGGAGTGTGGTTGTGGAAGTTGAAGGGAAGGGATGGTAGGGGAAAAACAAAGGAGGAGGCAACAATGCTTGATAAGAAATGTACTCATTACCTTGCTCATGTAACTAACCCATCTGTACAGTATTTTCACAATAAAAAACTTATTAAAAAGTACTAGGATTTATTGAATTTCTGATCCTCTCTGTGGTTGCCTTGGCAGGATTAGAAATAATTTTATTGGCCTTATATGGCCAATGGATGGACATTCTCTATCCCTGAAAGCAATCAGAATCACTTCAAACAAATATAGATTGACATCAGCCAGCTCTAAGTTTACCAAATGTCCAGGAATACAGAGCCTCATCAGAGACTCAAGATTTGGTTCAACCTTCCACATCACAGATGAAGAAGGGCCGTGTGTGTGTGTGTGTGTGTGTGTGTGTGTGTGTGTGTGTGTGTGTGTGTGTGTGTGACTTCTGATACTTGAGTTAGGCTAAAGACCAATTGCTATAAAATCCTACTACCTTTAATGTCTCTGCAAATAGATTCCCGATATCATGGTATTTCATGATTGTAGAAAGAAAATGTAAGACTACAAATACTAGAGGGTATATGACTGTGGTATGTTCCTGAAAGGAAGACTTTAGAAATACTTGATAAGAAGCATGGTGGTTTCAACTGTAGTGCTGAGAATTGGCTCTCACCAGAGGGGGGTCCTGGCTCCCCAAAATGGAGATATAAACCTTGGACCCGTGTTCTCCAATAGCCTGAGTCTCCAGAGTCAGTGGTATATGTACAGTGCTATGGGGACAGATGACCCCACAGGGGCTAGAGCTGGAAAGCAGCACAGTAGGCGAGTTCTCATAAACCTGGAGAAAGACAAGCCAAGGGTAAGAAAGCCATTCAAGGCAAGGAACAAATGTCATATTCATTTATCTTGAAGTAAAAGTTGTCCTTAGTTCATGGGAAGTCTTCAGGAATGCCTCATTTTTAAGAAAGTCCAAGGTGATGAGTACTTGATTTAGCCACAAAAGAGTTTTGTCACATGGAGGCCAAAGTCAAGGTACCCATCACAGCAATTTGCAGAAAGGATCTACCACATGAATGAGAGTAGGCCAGCAGTCTTTCACACCAAGTTCTTAACCTGGTCCCCCTTACATCATGCTTCATTCCCTGTCATCTTGCCCCTTTGTACTCCATTAACAGAGGCCATACTATCACACCTTTCTGAGAACAGGTTGCTCCATCCCACCTCCAATCCTATGTATGCTGGTTCCTCTTCCTAGAATGCTGTTCCCTTCCCTGATACATCCTTCATGGGTTTTCCTCACCTCAGGCACCTCTAAAGCTCTATGGTGGGGATTTTTGCCTCTGCTCTTGGGGAGTACACTGTAAGGCCCTTTCCCACAGCAGGCACTGACAGCACAGACCATCTGCAAGTCTTTACTCCATGGCTAGAGAGTTGTTTGGGCATAGCCCCGCTACTGCTCTCTATATATCCAGTTTTAGTCCCCAAACATATACTTAATACATGTTTTTTTTTTTACATGAGTGTATGAATGAATGGATGGATGAATCAATCAGACCCCTGTTCTCCAGTGTATTACAAGTTCTCATGCAGCAACAAAAACAAATGAATAAAGTTTTAAAAATCCCAAAGTCAGAGAACAATGGACAGGGTGGCATTGATCAAGGAGTGACATTGTCCTCATTATCTGATTTAGGGACTTGAAATCCCTTTGTACAATTACGTAAAAAATATCCCGAAGTCAATCAGGTTTGGGTAATCCTGAGAAACACCTCTAAGAACTTAAGCTCCTTGGGAGAATGACAGAGCATGTGGGTTCTACTCTTTTGCAGGATCCCATCTTTCTGGTATGGCCTAGCATGGCCCAATCACATTCTACCTCTCTGTGCAACACTGCTCTGGCCATGCTTCTGGGGCCTGAAGAAAAAGGAAAAATCAGCAATGCTCTCTTTATCCAAATGTTGGTATTTTGCTCCTAATGAGATTTTAAATTAATTTTGACCTTTTAGAATATTGCATACATATGCATAATGCATATGTATTTCTTACAAAAAGATATTAGCATCTATTAGTTACACAAGGGGGATTTCATTGTGATATTTCCATGCATGCATGCAAAGTATCCTGATCAAACTCCACTCTTGTTATCCTCTCTCATATATCACTTTCCCCAAAACAACTCCAATAGGTTTCATTGTACCATTTACATACATGCCTGTAAAGTACTCTGACCATATTCACCTTCTGACTAGCTTCCCCGAAAATTCTCTCCCAAGGCAAGTGTCTCATTCTAGCTCTGTTGTATAGAAATTGCTTCTATGATCTCAGATGCAGACTCTGCCCCTGAGTTCTTGAGATGCCAGTGTACCATGCATGGCCAGCCTATCTTCCTATGGAGCATCTGTGTGTTAGGCCTACCTCAAAACTGGACCCTTGGTTCCGGCTTCTGTTTCAGAGAGACCCACACAGTAATTCTAAATTCCTTTTTACCTAAGAACCCTTTCACTAGAGGCAAGTAACTGTTTTATCCCAGCTAAATCTTCTCTGTTGCAGGTTAAACATGAGATTGCTCCTTTTATGATTTAGATTTGGAGATGACATGAGCCACGTTCTGGTTACTCCAAACATGATACATTTTTCAAGTTCCCATTAAAAATATGCATTTCCCATTAAAGCTGTATTTCTCTGATGCATCCTAAACTTGCCTTGGGTCTCTGGGTCCTTTAAAGCTCTTTTAACGCATATTGAACTTGAAGCCATATAAAGCTTCCATGGACTTTTTTGCATAAATTTATATTAGATTACTGTACTTATACAACTGCACTTTAAACCAAGTGCATTTTTGGTAAATTGTACATCATTATTAACCTCCCATTATTCTAGTCTTACCCATATGTGAACTGCTTAGTCACCCACTCAGACAGGTGTAGAACCATGTGGACGGACACATTTCAAAAGACATTAAGAGATAATTCCTGCTTTCTCTTCCTGTATTACTACTAGGCCTTCTGGTCCAACAAGTCCATTTATAAATACTGCATTACTCTATCACAGCCATGGGCATACACGAAAACCCCCAGCTCATTTCCCATGCTTGGTTAATTCACAGGCAATTATTTGCAGGTGCACTTTTGCATGCTGGCTTAATTGACACTTTTCCTTCTTTATCAAGGGCAATTTCCCTGGGAAATTAACAACTGTTTATACCTGCAGCTGCTCACTCATGCAGATGGCAATCCAGCTGTGGTTTTATAGCCCCATGCTTAGTTTATCCAAGGGTTAAAAATCAGGATTACATAAGGTCATGTGTTTGGAACTGTGACTCTTCAGAAGGCTGTCTCTCTCTTTTTTTTTTTCATGAAAGGAATCCAATGGGAGAACACCAAAGGAGAAAGTCACTCACCTGAGGCAGGACGGCGTAACATCCTGGGAGGTCGTCATTATTGACAAGCTGGATTGTCTTCTTATAGGGGTACTTTAGGAAGCAGCGCCCAAAGTTCACCTCCGTATCAACCAGTTGGAGGGCAGGTACAACACACCTGCTCAAAGGAGCCCATCAAACAACTCAAAATAGAGAACTTGTTTATAGAGAATGAAGAGTCCTTAACTGCATCTATTTGTCATTGTCATTAATCATGTTCAAATATTCTCTCCTGACATCTTTCTTAGTCTCCAGTCACTATTTTTTTTTCTAATCAGAAAAGAACTACCAGTAGAACTCGTTAAACAGCTGTCTGTAGTGAACAGTCACTAACATTTCCACTGTTTTTCAGTTTGGTCTTCCTCTTGCTAAAGTACCATGATGCAAGTTCCTTGGGATTGTGGGTCTATTTCCGTGAATGGGGTGATTACTACCAGCATGGGGTCCTAAGTAGCTATGCTTTGGTCAGGCAGAAAGTCCCCCAAAGACCACCAACAGATCACACCATCTAAATAACTAATAACTAATAATAAATAACAATAGCTAATTAATAATTCTAATTCCTATGCAGAACAATTGTCTTGAGTAGGTTGGCTTTGGGCAGCTGCTCAGTCTAGAACTAGTGCTGTGATAGTGGGTCTGATATACGGGGGTTGGGTTGGGAAGCGGAGAGCTGTGTACAGTGATGAGAGGAGATGGAGTCCCATGTTGGCAGTTAGTCTCTCATTAGGTGAGTTGGGTTTTATTTTGTGTCTGTAGCTCTCAGTGTCTAACCTGCCCTATGTCATTGCTACTGCATGCAGTGCTATGGGGAAGAGTTGCGACTTTTGAATTAGACAGACCTAGGTTCAATGCTGACCTCACAAAGAACCTCTGTTACTTTGGGCCAATTGTGTTCTCTGTCAGGGTCCTACTACTCTCATAGGTAAATTGAAAGCCATTCTAGGGATCGATTGGCATTATTATGCTTCTTGGGGTGGCAGGACAATCCAGAGAAAGTGTGAACTGAGGGCATGACCCAGCACCATTTAAGTGTGAAGTGAGAGGAGGTAGACCTGGGGTGAGGGCATGGCTAGTGTCATACTGGCTCGCTGAGAGAGTCACTTTGGGGTGCAAATCCTCAAAGCAACTCTTCAGGTGAGAGTCAGTGAGCAGTGTCTGCAGATAACACCATAAGTAATAATATAAAAGGAATGCTTTCACTTGAAGCCTGTTATTGAACACAGGATGACTGTCCATTTTTAGCTGGAATGGCAGTTATCGAGTTGACCCAATGACTTTCACAAAGCTAACTTTTTGCTGCCTGAAACCCTGGGACTGAGAACCATAACCATAGAGCATGCTTTTAGTAGAAACGCACCATCATTATTATGTTTGTAATCTAAGATTTCCTATTGATAGCGACAGGAAAAGGAGCTTGCAGCATATTGAAATAAGCATGCATAGAAAAGAAATCCAAGACCAGAATAAAAGGCAAACTTGTCAATAGAGTGGACCAAATCAGAAGGGCTTTTCTCTTTTTAATCAAATGAAAAAGGAATTAGGCCTAGAAGAAATACTAAGTAGCTTCAGGCAATACAGATTCAAGTTCTTTTGGGGCTGTTACTTGTCCTTTATCCAAGCCCAAGACTGTGTGAAATAGGGCCAGCTGGGATCTCCCCATCTACTAGCACATCTGCACCTTTGTTAATGTATATCTTCCCAACATTCATGAGAGACCTGAATTCTAGAAATTCATGTATTGGCTAAATGGTTCTTTCACTGAAGGACTGAGAGCAGTGTCTTCATGCTACATGACTTTGGAGTACTATCTTGAAAGATAAAACAAAAAACAGCATTTCATCACTTCTTCCTTCCAAAACTTAGTTTGAAGACAAATCAGGGAGCATTACAAGTGCACATGTGTATTCACACACACACACACACACACACACACACACACACACACACACACACACACATCCCACACCTTCTTACTGTTACCAAAAGATGCTTCTCTAAATATTTGTTGTCCTAAAGCTTTGTCCTTTGACTATTCAGTTTTCTTTCCCAGGAAGGAAGAATGTTCTGGCTAGCAGGTGAGCTGCCTTCTGGGAAGCAGCCCAATACAGGGCCTGGGGGAGGGATGGAGGCGGTAGGGGTGGGGGGGGTAGGGGAGGATTCCAGAAGAGAGGAACAGGTGAGGGCTACCTGGCTGTAATGAGGAGCGCCAGCACTTCTTCTCCAACGCCCTCCACATCTACCACCAATGCCAACTCATATTTCTGCACAGTGTTGGAGCATAAGGTCACCTGGAAAGGAAAAGGTAAGGAGTTGGTCTTCTCTCTTTGTGTACAGGGAAGAGAGGAACTAGGGGGAGACCAAAGCTCATGAAAGCAGTTTTCAAGTGTTTTATAGATATGTGACATATTGCGTTTTTAGTTAAACACGTTATTATATGGTGAGGTCAAGGCATACTGTGTGTTGTCGTAGGCCAGAAGTGATGTTAGTAAATAAGTTTGCTCATTTCTGAAGTTTTTTCATTAAATAATAGAAGTTATATTTCCACACAAAGGGAAAATGGCCATGAAGTCTAAGCAATATAAAACAAACTTTAATCATTACAATTTAATTTTTCCTTATATCTCAGGGCTATATGAGTGATGAAAATTCAATATACTGATAAAACACTACAATGAAATTTCTCTTACATCAAAACAAATGAGAAAATAATCATATGGGATCCAGAAACTGTCCTAAGAAATCAGTCTTTTATTACCCAAATCATTCCCTTCCCTATATTTATTATTAGAACAGAAAACAGGAAGTTCCAAAGAAAAGACCATCTGAGGACATTGTCTGACCAGAACATTTTAACCTATGCTTTTATTTGTGGCTGTCAGACTTTATGTTTAGACTTTGGAAAACCTTGTTCCAACTTTTAATTGCTTTAAAATGATTTGTACTAGAAGAGGTACTTGTTAGTCTAGAACACAGCTGCTGGCCTGTGTTAAGGCTTTTCTATCTATAAATTATGTATCAGGTACTAATTAAAAATCTTTTTGGTTGCAGAGGGAATCACTGAATGCAAATTTGAATCCACATAGACCTGGCTGAAGTGCAGATCAGAAGGGGAAATTGTAGCTTAGAGAAAGCTTTTTGAAATATGCAAGAAAATAAAGTAGAGATGAAGTCATTGATTTGGAAAGAAAACTTGGACTTGGAGAAAATCAAGAGACTTGAAGTATGACTAGAACCTCTTGTTTATATATCAGGTCTGTAGTTAGAAGGAAGAAGGGCAAATGATTCTGGAAGAAGCTGTGGAGGGATAGCATGTCTTTAAAATCCTTCCTGGGCTATCTAGAAAGGCATAAAGAATGATAGGTAACAGGTAGGCTGAACATTATCAAGTAAAAAAGAAATAAATGGATTACAGTAGCACTTTTTTAATTAGAAAAATGACAGCAATCTTGACAAGATAAAGTGGTATATAATATCATCAACCCTCACTGGAAGGAGAAAACCATGGAAGAGATGAAAAACCCCACAGAAGAGATTTAGGATGAATAGATTTGAGATAAGATATTAAGAAGCATTTAAAACAAATCTGGGGATAAGACAACAGCTGGATTACATCCTCAGTGGTAAAGGCTGAAGAGAAAACTAGCAACCTTAGCTATGAAGTCTTACCTTTTTCTCTTTCCCAGAAAGTATAAAGTCATTTCAATTTAGTAGTTCTCAGTATTGCTACACTTCACTGGTAAAGCAAGTAAGATAAACCCTTCTCAGCCAACTGTGTGGTAATTTTGCTGTTGGCACCACAGGCCATAACTATGGCACTGTGCTATCCTGATTTCTGACCAAGTATGGGGCTAGGGGTTGGGGATCAGCAGCCTCCTTCCTCATTGCTCTTCCTGTCAACCTAAATTCAAAGCACTGGTTAAACTATCACATTTGTGTTGACTATAAAGTCCAGGTTCATTTTTACAAATCTCAGTAAGCTGGCTGTCATCTGAATATTTATTGGTATAAAGGGTCTGAGTCTGAAGGGAAGAAAACTCTAATTATAAGTTCTGTAATTTTGTATTAATACCAATGTGTGTATTATCTCATAGGTAGTTGTCACCAGAAATAACTAGGAGCCACTGCTGTGAAGGTAATCCATCCAGATCAATGCAAATCCATTGTCTGGTTTCTTCTCCCATATACCCAATGTTCCACGATTTGAGAGGCACGCATTCCCACTGTCCCTAGACAGTCACTTTGTTCTCAAAGGCTGCCTGGAAATCCAGCCTCCAATTGCTGGAAAGCTGTGCGCTTACCCTGATAGCAGCAAATGCCTGGGAGCGAATTGTTCCATGGCTGGGAGCGATGGTGAATTCCTTTGGTTTTATTACAGGTGTTTCTTCACTGGTCCAAGACTGTCTGCTGTTGTCTGAGATCTGCCCATAACTTGGAACACTTTTTGGGCCAGTGCCATCTCCAGGGATACGCAATGTATAGGTCATAGGAATCAAAGATGTGTTATTCAGGGAACAGATCAGGGTATGAGGAAACCCTAGAAAATCAAATAAGAGGTGAGAAATAAAAGCCCTCCTCCAATAGCCTCCCTTGGCCACTGACCTCTTCTGGCAACTACCCAACAATGAACAGGTTTTACATAAATTGTTGCTACAAATAGTTGCCCTATACATTGTTTTCCATCAGTAAACAATTTAATTCTTTCATGCATTTACTTAATGATTGTAAGGTTAGGAACAGGTGCAAATGGGTCATGCCTGTAATCCTAGCTACTCAGGAGGCTGAGACCTGAACATAGTGGTTCAAAACCAGCCCAGGCAGAAAATCAGTGAAACTCTTATCTCTGATTAACCACCAGAAAATTTTAAGTGGCACTGTGGCTCAAAGTGGTACAGTGCAATGCTTGAGTGAAAACAAAAAGCTCAGGGACAGTGCTCAGGTGCTGAGTTGAACCCACAACTCCCCACAGAAAACCTAATAAATATTATGCAACAGGCTAACTAGTAGATGACACAATAAATCCCTTGACTGTCACCTCTTCCAAAGAGTGACCCTGTAGTATTAGTTTGCTGGGTTGTCTTGCAAAAGCATATTTTGCTTTCAGATTTTGCATGAAATGCTTGCCCTTTTTTATTTATTGGTTCATGTGTGAAAGCAGAGTCTTGTGTGTGTTTTTTTCCCCCACTATGTGGCCTAAAGCTTGTAAAAAGGTGATAGAATTAGTTCTGGCCTGTCTAAGGATCATGCTCTCAGGGCTGGCTGAATAATATCAAAGAACAACCTCTACCAAGAGAGACTTGGTGATCTGCTTTAGAGCGAGCTAATCATCCAGGCAGAGACTAACACCAACTTTCACCTTCCTCAAAGCTACTTTGTCATACTATATGCAGCTCTCCTGTGTTGTCAGGTAGACTCATGTTCCTTTCTTTTAAGATGTGAATCCTCCTTGCTGGGCAAGAGATAAGCTGAACTCTGAATTTTGATTCCCTAGGTGGTTATTCTATCTGCTACCACTTTCAGAGCAAGAAGAATTATCTATAGCCATAGAACACAAGTGTTTATTTCTACTGGTTGTAAACCTTGCTCTTCTACCTTGAACAACCTTCTCTTGAAATGTTATTCTTGGAAACTCCAGAGGAATGGCTACAAAGGTAGTTTCCCAATTATGTAATTGCTATGATGACTTTTCTAAATGTGCCCAAGATCGACTTTTGAAACTATGCCTTATTTTACCTGATCATTTATGGGCTAAACATTTTGCTAATTGATAGCATAGTCTTTCAAACTATTGCCAGGTTATTTCTCTGTAACCAGAAACTTTTCACAGAAGAAAGCTAATATTAACTTCCTTGTTTAAAGAATTCCCTGTACTAGGATTTTTAATATTCCATATGATATTGCTTGTCAGGAAGCCTAAGGAAGGGGATATTCATTTGCTAAAGACTGAACGATTACTAGTAAGAACGGTATTCTTGGGGCTGGAGCATGGCTCAGTGGTAGAGTGATTGCCTTGCATGCATGAGGCCCTGGGTTCAATTCCTCAGCACCACATAAGCAGAAAAAGCCAGAAGTGGTGCTGTGGCTCAAGTGGTTGAGCACTAGCCTTGAGCTGAAGAGCTAAGGGACAGTGCCCAGGCCCAGAGTTCAGGCCCCATGACTGGCAAAAAAAAAAAAAAAAGAAGAAGAAAAAAAGAAAGAAAAAAGAAAAAAAAAAGAATGGTATTCTTAGGCTTCTGGCTGCACCCAATTTTGTATCTCCTTCTGAATGAAAGTATTCTATAGTTCTAGACATCTCTGCTCCATTCAAATATTATCAAGAAGATAGAAGGTCAATAGCTATTTTTCTTATTGAGATATTTTTATTCTACAAAGGGGTTACAATCCAGTGTGTCATTTTGATCTATTCAGTGCATTTTGGTCTATCGCCCTTCTCATTGTTCCTTCTTGTCCCTTCCAGCCCCACCTATCACTACAATTTTTCGAGTTTCAGAGGATATATAGTGTATATTAATTATGACTGTATTTCCTCACCTCCTCTTTTCTTGGCCTATCACCCTTCTCTTGGGCTTCATTTGGTTAGACTGTAAGTTAGTTGCTCAAAGGAGTTACAGCATTTGAATTCTCTGCATATACCATACTTTAGTTAATATGCTTATATGTATATGCGATATAATCCTATATAGGTCTCTCTCTATATAATTTATATTTAACTTCCGAATATGAGAGAAAACATGTGTCCTTTGTCTCTCTGGGCCTAATGTACTTCAGTTAACGTAATTTCTCCCATCAATTTCTCTGCAAATGATGTAATATTCTTCCTGATAAACGAAGGAAATTCTATTTTTATTTTCTTAGAGTAATTAACAAGATTGGATAGAATGTTCAAGGATTCTCAGAGGCAACTCATATTTCTCCCAGTACTTAATTACTGATTTAAAAGACAACATTCTCAAGAGATCCAATTCTCCTTTAATTTGCATAGTTTTACCTGATTTTAAAAAACCTCTACTAAGATTTCTTGAAGAAATTAGCAGCTGCAGATCAAAAAGCTGCACAGCAAAAAAACCCCAACAATAAAATTATTTTAAAAGGTGGTCCATCATTTAGAAGATGACCCCCTTCTACTAAACAATGGAGAGTATTAAACTGATTCAGCAACATGCAAATTCAAAAATTAAACTACACCAGAGAGATTTGGGGGGTATTCGTAGTTTTTTTTAGACAAAAGGTTCCTGCTTTTCTAGTAAAATAAAAAAAACTCCATAAAGCAAAGGCAAATGTATTGCAGATCATCATGCAAGTGAAGTGATATTTTTGTAGTAATACACAGAAGTAATTCAGAATATGGGAGATCAATAAACACATATAAAATCCATAAAATTCAGACTCAGGTTTAGGAAATGAACATGGTCTACATGGGAGTCTTGGTTCATTTCAAGTGAACACCAACTATGCCACCAAATCTGAGATGGTCTTTGACAACGGTGTTTTATCACAAGTCCTATTATGAGTAAGAATTAATTTGAAAATTTTATTGTGATATTTTCTGGTCTTTTGCTGCTACAAGATATCTGACAGTAGTGTGATCATCCTCTCTTGTAGCTTTATATTGCAATGCTGTGTAAGGATGTGTTGTTGACATACATCAGTTGCCAGGATCCCTGCATGGACTTGGCTGAACTTCTTAGAAGATGACTGAGCAGGGCTTTGGATTTACTAATATGCCTCATATTTTTCACTAGCCACAACTGGACAAAGTCTAGAGAGTCTGCTTCACTTATTTGTCTATTAGGTGAATTTTAAGTTGAAGATCACACTTATTTTCCTTCAGGAGAATCTAACTATCACTCAAATATATGATACAAGTTTATAAAAAAAAGTGTCTCCAGTCAGTTTCTTATACTATAGTAACATGCAAATGCTTGTAAATCATTTTCATAGATTTCCCTCCACTATGTGCCTTATGCAATATGATTTTCATGGAGGTATTCTACATGTTATGTGATTTGAATAAAGCTGTTATAACCCTCATGTTGAAGCAATTGACCAGACATTATGAACAAAATTTTCCTAAAGAACTATTTTTCCCCAAAGTAGATAGGCCTACTCAAAATGAAACAAAATAGAAAAAATTACATACACACATATTTTAGTTAGTATTTTACAACCCCTATTTCCATTATCACTTACTTAAAAAGGTAAATTAATTTTAAACCAAATTAAATTAAATCATGAAATAAGATTCAAAATAAATTTGAAGTCTCCCTAATGAGAAATTTAGTACTAAAGAATTATTTTGTTGAGGATAATTGAACTTTGAATGATCATTGGTACACACACACACACACACACACACACAATTGCCATTAGTACATGTATGTTTTCTTACCATCTAAGAACCAGTTTTTCCCTTTAGTGGGGGCAACAGTGAGCATACATGAATTTAAGCAGATCTCAATTCTTCTGATCTCAGTTTAAAACTGGAGGCATCAAGTAGTACTGCCTCATAGGATTACTAAAAGAATTCAATGCAACACTATATATAATACATTTAGCAATGACTAAAATACAAAACACAATGGATAAGTAGAGCTTCTGATACTGCTGTTGTTACTGTTCTTATCACTTTATTAGTGGTGAAGCTTAGAAAAAGAGAAATTACTCAGGAGAACAACTGGGCAAGATGGTAACATCCCAACACTGAGGAGCGAAAGAACACCTGAGTCAATACACTGAGTTCACCTTAAACTTGAGAGCATCTTTGTGAGGCAGTGGCTTTGCTGCCAGATGGGCAAATCGGAATCTGCATTTATTAGAATACAGAATGTTCAACTAGTGGAGTGAAGCATAAAGCTTCTGTTGTCTCACTGTGGGAAGAGGGAAGACAGCTAGGTCTGACAGCTCTGAGTGCTCAGGACACAGCTACTATTTTCACATTCAAATGCCACTGCCACAGAGAAAGAAAAGAACAATTCTAGGCCCTCTTAACTGTTACCTATAAAAGAACAGTAAGAGAGAGGCTTTGTAAATATTCTTCCTCCCATACAGAGACAAAAAATATCCCTACCCCTCTCTAATCTCTACATTTAAAGTAGAAGTACTCACCATAGGAAACATCCCCAAAGTGCAGAGCAGGGACATTAAAATGGAAGGTAGGCCCAATGACACAGCCTCTGAAACACAAAAGTTGGAGGGTAGGGAGAATATCTAATGAGTTCAAGATAATGACCAGGAGCTGAGAGTACAAACTAAAATACCATAACTTGGCAGTAAATCCATTCTAGAAGTGAGAAAGTTATGAGATGATGATCTCTCATAGAGCTCCTCAATTATTTTTCAAAACTCCAACCATGGTTTTGACAAATGATACTGTTGTTAAAACTTATGGCCCAATTTCTACCAGCAAGCAAGGCAGGGGCATAACAGATAGATCACCAAACTAATGGCATAAACTGTCATCAATTTGGATGAGTCACTTATAATGTGTAAGTTATTAACTTATCAAGAAATAAAAATTACAGAACATCAATGATACTGCCAGTGATCAATGATACTGTTAACAATACTGCCAATCTATTCTATGCTTTTATAATTTCATTCCTACCACACTACCTTGCTGTGACATTGGCCATATATTTATTGGTATTACCATTTCTTCCTCCAGTATGAAAAAGAGAAGTCTAGACTAGGTGACTGAAGGAATGGGCACTCCAAATATTCATCTAGTTCTCCCTTAGTGTAAGTAAGGCTTGACAATCTTGAAGAGATGGTCCTAACTTAAAATAAGTAATAGATTCTTCAGTTTCTAGTTTACTTCAGGTGGCAGGTAGAATAATGGTTCCGAAAGATATGTACATTTTAATCCTTAGAACCTGGGATTATGCTAGGTAACATGGAAAGGCGAATTAAGTAGCAGCTGGAATTAGGGTTGCTAATGGATTGAATTTTAGATGGTGAGATTATGGTAGGTCCAATATATTCATAAGGGTCTTTACTGACAAAGGAGGAAGACAGGAGAAGACATCTGAGTTACGCAATGTGAGAAGTTACTTTGAAGGAAGAAAGGAAAGGAGTCAATGAGAATAGACAGCCTCAAGATGCTGCAAAGTTTAGGCAATGAACTTTCCCCCTTCAGGAAAAAACTTAGCTCTGCCAACACCTTGGTTTTACTCCAATGAAACCTGTGTTGGGCCTCTAATTTACAGAACTGTAAACCAATAAATCTGTGCTGTTTTCAAGTTAGGAAATTTGTGACAATCTATTAAAGTAGAAAATAAAGCCTAATAATCAAGTATTCTTGTTTCCTTTTAGAGCAATAACGATTTTCTCCATAACTCATATATTTAAAAATATTTAGACAAAAGAACTGAATAGGACATATATGTAACAAAGCACACAGATACCAGATAATACCTTAAGGTGGAACTATCCTAATTCACCAAGGTCCGGATGTTGGTGACATAGGCATGTTGCACCATGTAGAATGCATTGGTGCTCTAGTGGTACCTCCAGCTGCTCTAGCTCTAACTATAACGTGATGAGAAAATATCACAAGCCTGAGAAGAGTGGCCATGGCTAAGACTCACTGCAGCAAGTTCCTACTCCCAAAGATGTCTCGTGACTATCTGTTCTCATGATTGGAAGTGATTTCCAAAGGAGTGGCAAGAACTTAGCAAGGCAATTAGGATCCAGCTGAGCTTCAAGTCCAACATGCCTTCAGATTAGATGCTTAGCTTGGAAAAGAAGCTTTCAGGGGCCAAAGTAGCAAATCAATGACAAAGCATGTGAACTGTGCAAAGGTGCTCGCAGGATTGCACAAAGCAGTCATTAAACCAGTGCAGAGGTTGAAAGAATCAGAGATAAATCACATTTGTTCAAAGGCTCCTATAACTGAGAGAACTGTATCTGAATACTATCTGGACTTAGAGATGGTCAGATGAATCCTAACAGTGATTTTTCTAAATATTAGGAGAGTCTATGCCAAGACTTGCATGCATCAATGCAGTGATCTGTTAAAATTATAATATACACCAATTATAATTGAGTTATTATGAAACAAGCTGAATGCATAGAAAAATATAAGAGAAAAAACTGCTAATGGGAAAACTTTATATTAATTTTATAGTGAAGTTTATGTAGCCATTTAAAATACTGTGTTATGTGATTGTAGGAGCAAATAAAAATAGCAAAAGTATATTTGTTTTAACCTTTCAAGACATATTAACCAAAATTATATATATCAAGGACAGAATGGTTTTAAAAGAGAAAGAAAAAATTCTAGAATCTATAAGCCTTGTAGACATTCTTGGGGCATAAGGTCTAAGGAAGTTCTTCTGAAATTGCCTTTGAAATTGCATATTTACTTGTGATACCAGATAGTATTTCAAAATTATAGTTCATGGTTTGAAGTGTTAGAATATAGTTTAATACATGAACTTCAGAAAACATCGTGTGGGGAAGAAAAATCAGTAGGTCTATTTCTTTCAGAAACTGGTGATGAGCTTGGAGATAAATGGACTCTTATAGTACTTCAAAGCATTATAGGTAGGTTGATTTTAAGAGTTTTCCTAAAATAAAAACAAAACAGGAAGGTGTAGAGAAACTGTGATCATAATCAAAGCTTAGTCAAGAAGATAATTTCCACCAGATGTTACTATAATGAATTATCTTCTCCAAATACCCTAGTCCGGAGAGTGACTATAGGCTAGTTTTATAAAGTTACAACCGATGGACAATTCTGATCCCCCAATAGCATCTATAGCCATATTGTAAGTCACACCTGTTCTAGGAAAACATTAGTGGAAATTTAACACATCCCATTATGCTGAAGTGCTCATATCAACAAAGATAACTATGGGTATCCAAGACATGATCTAGTTCTAAAACTCAAGAAAGCAGTAGGTGAAAACTTCAGTTAGTTTCCACCTTAAACATTCCTTACTTAATGGTCAGTTTCACAGGCTCTGGTGTCCCATTGACATCAATCAGGAACTCTTCTTCGAAGTACCCCAGGATGGTAGAACTGAAGGAGATCTGGACAGCTTGGACTCCACTTGGCTCAATGATGCCCTCTTTGGGACTGAAAACAAAGCAAGACCCCAAGGCTGAGGTTGTAGGGACCACATGGAAGAGGGCATCGATGCTGCCTTTGTTGGACATGACTGCCTGTTTCAAGCAAAGACAAAGATTGGAAAGTCAAGGGACCTGTGATCAATTTCATGTAAGCATGTGGTTGTATTTATTATTTCATGTCAGCACAGAATAAGATGTAGGGATTAGGACCAAAGGAAAACATTCACATTTATATTATATTCATGCTATAAAGACTTGTTCTAGGAGCAAGCTTCCCAGAAGAAGGTAAATGTAGACAGAGGTCAGAGAAATAAACTGAGAAAAGGTTTCAGAATTTGATTTATTATTAGAGGTCACCTCTAACCTTGAAGAAGAAAGTGGCTGTGGTGGGTAATGGGCAGAATCCAGTAGATAACTGCGCAGGGAGATCAAGGACACAGAGGAAGTGGTGGGCAACTCATTTTGAGAGCAGTAGTGAAAAGTGAGGCTGGAAGATGAACAGGGGTGGAAAGCTATCTTAGTGGGCACTGAGGGAGCTTGTGTTAAATTAGGTGATGCACAGTCAGGGCCCAACCCAGAGGAAGCCCTTACTCTGTGATGCCTTCTGTTGTCATTGATCCAGAAGACAGCTCTAGGGGACCAAGTGAATGGGGATCTACCTGGAGGTTAGTTGCTACTCAAGAGGAGCTTGAATGGCGCACAGCCACTGGCCTCTGCAGGGGAAGAGGCAGCTACTTGTGCCAACAGAACACAGCTAATGCACCAAAGCAAATACAAGAAGGATTTGTCTTTTTATACTTATTTCCCACGCTCCTCATTCTGATGTCCTTGAAAGTCTGAATTGTGTTTCATCCTTTTTTAAAGGAATCTTTTAAAAGAAAGGCTCCTTTTAAAAGAACCTTTCTAAAGAAAAGTGTTTATCGTCAGGGACTCTGTGGCCAAACTCCTTGGGTTCAAATCTCAGCTTTGCCATTGACCTACTATCTATATAGCTTTAGACAACAGTCTTGACTTCTCATATTAAGAGTAAATTTATCAACTTATATAACTTTTAGAATAGTTCTTGACAATTAGTGTTTATAAATGACAATGACTGTTACTTATAACCTCATGCAAAATGGGCACAGAATTTATCTGTGTTTAGGGAGTCACTGAGAATACATTAGTGGTAACTTCAAGGCCACTTAAAGGCATTAGTGGTCAAGAATGCCCCTTTCGGGCTGGGAAGGTGGCTCAGTGGTAGAGAGCTTGCCTTGCATGCCTGACGCCCTGGGTTCGATTCCTCAGCACCACATAAGCAAAAAGAAAAAAGCTGGAAGTGGCGCTGTGACTCAAGTGGTAGAGCGCTAGCCTTGAGCTGAAGAGCTGAGGGAAAGCGCCCAGGCCCAGAGTTCAGGCCCCATGACCGGACTCCCCCCACACCCCCAAAAAAAGAATGCCCCTTTCAGCTATATACATATGACCATATAAGATGATGTTAAGAGAAATGAACCCCAAGATAGGGACACAAACATATATTTTCTTTCTTGCTATTGTTTCTAACATATTTATAATGTACCATGTGAATTTTTGTTACGTTGTATGTTCCTCCCCCATGGTATAACCCCTGTTTTCACTGTATTTGATGTTGGTGTCCTGCATCTTGTATATACACTTCTCTAATTCGGGGAGGGGAAGGGAAAAAACAAAATGCTTAAATAAGGATATAGATTGACCCATTGTAACAATGAGATGTACAAAACAATATGTTGAAAACAAACTTTACAACTTCGGTGTGGGGAGGTAGTTGTGGAGATGGGAGGGAAGAGATGGTAGGGGGAAAACAAAGGAGAAGGCAACAATGCTCAATAGGAAATGTACTCATTACCTTGCTCATGTAACTATAACCCCTCTTGTACAGCATTTTTACAATAAAAAACATATAAAAAAAAAGAATGCTCCTTTGTTCTTTCTAGGAAGACACATAGTTGCCTTTGTGTTTGTTTTTGTTTTTTGTTAACAGGACTATTTAACCCAGGGTCTCTAAACAGTGAGTTTCCCCATTTTCGAGAACATGCATGCCATTCTACCCCTGACAAAATAATACTGAATCTAGCAATCAAGTTGGGGACGTAATTTTAAGGCCTCTTGACTTCTGGTGATAACTCTTACCCTTGGGGTTTTTTCCTTTGATAGGGAAACACTCAAATAGAACTTCACCTCCAATTTGTTTTTCTTTTTGATTATACTATGGAAGAGTGTACATTCTTGGTGTTATATGGTTTATTCTTTCTGTATCTGCTAAGCTCAGCAATGACTAAGGGCAATCTAGTTATTCAAATTCATCTCAAGCAGGTAATATAATAAATTGAAAGATGCAACGAGGCATCAATTTTATGCAGAGAGTGCAAAATATCCCCATAAGAAGCACTTTGCCATGTCCTTCTTTGCCACTGCTCAGCTCTCCCAACTGTTCAATCTGTTGCATCACCTCATTGAACACCTTAGTTAACTGTGGTTTGCCTCACTGTTAAAACTTGGGAGGGTGGGAAGTGGTGGTCTTAAGTAGATTTGTGTTATACTGTAAGAAGTTAGTATTTCACTTAGGAAAATCCTATCCAGCCTACATTAGCATGAAAGATCCTTATCTGATGGTGTATCCATAATCTGTAAAATATAAGGGTACTCACAAAAGATAAACTATTAGAGCATCAATTACTAAGAACTATATACACAGTCACCAGTGGTTCATGCCTGTAATCCCAGCCACTCTCTGGAGCTTATGTGGTTTGGAGTACAAATGTATCCCAGACAGGAAAATTAGTGAGACACTTATTAATTAACTTATATAACTTTTAGAATAGTTCTTGACAATTAGTGCTTATAATTGGCAGTGACTTGTGACTTATAACCTCATGCATAATGGGCACAGAATTTATCTGTGTTTAAACTGAAAGTAGAGCTGTGGCTCAAGTGGCAAATCATCAGCATTGAGTGAAAAAGCTAAGGGACAGTGACCAGGACCTGAGTTCAAGGCTCAGTACCTCCATAAAACAAATGAAAAGAACTATCATATCCCCCACTACCACCCAAAGACCCTTCTCTTCCATGCAGCCCATACATCTGATTTCTTTGTTCAAATTGTATGTTCCTTTTTTGTTCTACTTCCCCATGATTTAACATCTCTTTACATTTTGCATCATGTCACTTAGGCTACAGATAAACCAGCAAATGTGGGGACGAAGAACATTTTCCACAAGCAGAGTAGGATGGGCTGAGAACTGAGCTGGTTGTAGGGTAGAAGACCGGGATGCTGAGAACCTAAAGGACTAAAAGGCTAACAAAAAGGCCTTCTAGTTCCAGAACATGATAGAGGGTGCCAGGAACCCAGAGCTCTCAATATTTACAATCTGTGACTTGACCAAGTTAGTTATTTCACATTTCTGGCTGTCAGTTTTGCTGTTCCCTGAATCCATTTCCTCTTCTATAGTGACAGATTACATTCCCCCTTCCCTTGTAGTCATATGGCTAAGAACAATGGCAGTACAATGAGCTATATTCAGTGCTACCTTCTCTATATATAGCTCATGGACATTTCTGTATGTTCTTTTCCTTTCTTCCAGAGGGATACAGGTAAAGCCACATTTCATTGTGCCACCAGGCAATCAGTAGGAGTATCTGAGCAGAAGAAAGAGCCTGTGGTGTTCCAGATACTCTGCTAGAGGAATATACTTTTTGAACCTTGGCTGCAGAGTTTATCTAGCATTATTCTACTGAACAGTTAAACTTTGCTGTGCCTGGGCTTACTCACTTATAACACAGGAATAGACACTGAGCCTACTCCTCCCTTGCTAGTGTTTCTATGAAAACTATGGCAGGGCATCAGCATGGTCACACACACTTGGGAGATATTGTCGAGGGTATTAACCACACATGTTTCATGGTTATCATTGTGAAACAAACATAACATATTTTTCACCATTTTGTAAGCACCAGAAATTGCATATATTTTGTACATATACACAGACATGTACACACATGGGGCTTGATGGCTACTTGACACTCATTAAATAACTGTGTTTATCATTTCTTTAAAAACACAAACGTGTATAATGTTTGAACATCCTCAAACAAAGCTTCAACTGTTACAGTTAGATCTAGTATAAAAATGTGCCCTAGATGCAAAGTTAGCCATGAGGAAATACTGGAGTGGCTTTGACCCTGAGGAACCCACATGAGTCTGTCTTGTAAGACTCCAATTTCTAGCTAATTGGAAAGACAAAGCAGGGAGGTCTCTTTTAGAAACCTCGATGATTAGTTTTTTCAAACTTGAGCTGGAGATGAGGGCATTTGGAGAGAAATCTGAAGTGTGAAAACAGTTCTCCTCATTAGGACATTCTAGAAAATGTAAAAAGTTCTCTCTCCTCTCAGCTGTAGAATTTATGTTGTCAGAGACCAAGCTTGAAACAGATGGGGAGAGGTATTTATGGTGTTCCTCTTTAGAATCTACCAAATGAGGAGGATAAAGCCAATTTAAATTATGGCTTTGACACTTTTTAGCTTTTAGTGAAGTCAAAGGTACTGATGAAGAAGGGTAGAAGTTGGTGTTTGCAGCACAGCTACTAGGAGGGGAATCAGCATTTTGGGGTCTGAATGGGGATGAGTAATGGCAAATGGATGTGACTGTACATATTTCTGATCACATAGAAACACTGATCACATAAAGGTGCCAGTGGCTCATACCTACAATCCCAGCTACTCAGGAAGCTGAGATCTGAGGATCACAGTTCATAGCCAGCCTGGGCAGGAATGTCCTTGAGACTCTTATCTCCGATTAGCCACAAGATGCCAGAAGTGGAACTATAGCTCAGTGGTAGAGCACTAACCTTGACAAAAAGTAGCTAAGGGACAGTGCCAAGGCCCAGAGTTCAAGCCCCTGGACCCTGGATCATCAACACACACACACACACACACACACACACACACACACACACACAAACTAAAAAGATCCTCTGTACTGTCAGGAGCCTCAGTGAATAATTCTGCTCACCTCATAGCAATGAACAGATCCAATGAAGACTTTCCCAATGTCAAGCAATTCAAAGTTGAAGTGAATCTTAGGTCCTATTCCTTCACCTCTGATTCGGAGAGGCAAGCGGATTTCTCGGCCTACAGAAACAATTGAGATTTTATTATCCCATATTATCCACAATCTGTCACTGAGGTAAACAATCAAAATTTCTGCACTGAGGAAACTGTAATATAACCAATGCTGAAGATTTATCTTACTTTTAGAAACAGGAATAATACTATAATTTTTTTTTACCTGTAAGGAGTGGTCTATATTGCAATTTAGCCTGACATTTTAGCAGCAAAAAGATTAAAAAATTTAATCACAGAAAGACAAATCACTGCATAGTCTCCCTAACATGCTGAAGACAAAATAGTTGATCTCATAAAAGCAGAGGGTAGAATATAACAGAAGCTGGGAAGGGTTGTGAGAAGGAAAGATCGAGACAGGGTTAGCTTAGTGGTAAAACATCTGCCTCATATGCACAAGGTCCTGGGTTCAAACCCTAACACTATCTCCCTTCCACCAACACAGATAAAAAAGGGGATTAAATTCTAATATCTCATAGTAAAATAGGTGTTGGAGTACTTGGAGTTAACAATAATTTATTGTATATTTCAAAGTAGCAAGAAGATTTTGATGGTTCCTAACACAAAGAAATGATTAGTGTTTAAAGTGATAGATATATTATTGTCCCCAATTTGATCATTACACATCATTTAGGTGTATGAAAATATCAGAACCTTGCCGGGCACCAGTGGCTCAAGCCATTTTTGATGTGTCCGTATGTGCATACAATGTGTTTTGATTAGATTCTTCATACGGCCCCCCCTTTTCCCAAGCTAATCTCAACAAGCTACGTAGTTCCATTTTCACACATGTACCACACATACACATACTATTTCACATGTGTGCACATCCTAGTACCCTCCCCTTCTAGACAAGACATATATCACTTACTAACAGCCATTTTTCAGATGTATGTTAATTGCTCAAGGGGATCCACCATATTGAATACATGCATATACTGTACTTTAATACTTAAGCTCCTACAGATGTGTATACCGCCATGTCAAGCTTGTTAGTAGGAGACAGGGATTTCATTAGCTTTTCACCGGGTCTGGCTTCCCACCCTGATGCTCTTGGTCTCTGCCTCCAAGGTCTCTGGGATTACAAGTGTGAGCTACCTTGCTCAGCCTCTGCTTGTGACTAATAAAAATTATTTTTAAAATTCTGTGTCTTACAATTCTATTATTTAGATCATTCTGAGTCTTAACTGCTTAACTTGGTTTTCTGTCAGATTATCTTATTCCCTCATATTCTGGGTGGTTTATTGATTGAATGATGGTCTAGGTACATGAAATTCATAGAGATAATTGAAACCCTTAAAAGATAACTTCCTGTAGCTTCTGGCTGGTAACTAGAGGATACTTATAATCTCAGAAAAACCTAATTTAACTGTCCTCAGCTAAGATTGTAATTACAGAATTAAGCCCTGAAGCAAATCACTTGAGTATCTATTTTCTTAATTCTCCCTAAAAGGGCTTAGAGATTCTAGGTATAAAAGAGAAGAGCTATTTCCCCGCAATCAATAAACACCTCAGAACCTGAGGCATTCATTCTCTTCTGGTACTTTAGTGGAGAAGTGTCTTAATCAAATCAAGTGAAAAAGTGATTCAAAGCTGGTTTTCAGGCTTTGTGCGGGCTAGCCTGCTTCCAGTTTCTACTGGACCCCAGTCGAATACCTGAAGTTGTCAAGACCATTTCTCCTTGGAAACCCCGTGAACATCATGGCTCTCCAAGTCTGATGGCGATTTCTATCTTTTGTCGGTTGTGGGGCTTGAACTCTGGGCTTGGACGCTGTCCTTCAGCTCTTCAGCTCAAGGCAAGCACTCTACCACTTGAGCTACAGCACCACTTCTGGTTTTCTGGTGGTTTATTGGAAATAAGGCTTTCCTGCCTGGGCTGGCTTTCAACTGTGATCCTCAGATCTCAGCCTCCTGAGTAACTAGGATTACAGGCGTGAGCCACTGGCACCCGGCTTGTCTGGCTTTTCTAGTTGTTCTTCTGCAGAGAGATAGAGTTGACCCAAACCAACCATCCCACCATTATTAGAAGCAGAATTTTCAAAACAAACTCATGCACATTTGACATTTTGGTAGCTGTAACCATATTGTCCTCTAGAATGGCTGTACAAACAGCTGTACTAACCACACTTGGAACATCTAAGTGGTAGTTCTAATTTATTGCCATCATTATAATTTCTTATGATATTTTATATATCATTCTTTTGTATCCTTAGTACTTTCTTCTCATGACTAGCTTTTAAAAGACAGGACTACTGTCCTTCTATCCCCTCTAGTGTTTGTCAACACAGTGGTCATTATATAAGTATTACTTTGAGAAATCCTAACAGTATTTGGGATTGCTGATTTAGTCAGAGTGTCCCCCACTCCATCTGGTCCCCAGAGAAGAGATTCCTCTAAAAATCAGATATTTATGGTAACAATGTTATACAATTCAAATAAAACTTTCAGAGGGCTCCAACATTGTCACCATAATCTATTATTTATACTTCTAATCAAGGCAATAATTTGTATTCTTTGGTTAAAAGGGATGGATTTTGACTGAGATTCAACATTCAGAATGGCAAAGAAAGAGAACTGCAAATATATCATGGAGTAAACTATCAGACTATTTACAACAGTCAGACCTAAAACTTTCCCCATCTGTTATCTTGACTTCTTTCCTAAAATGAAAAATGAAGTACTATAATAAAGCATGGTTAATGTTTCTTGGGCATTACTAATTAGTTCATAAGAGTTGGTCTTATTTGTAGTTAACCACTTCCCTCGCCCAGAATAGAAGATAACCACAAGTAATTCTAGCTTTGCATTTCTAAGGGGTCACATAAATTTTTGGTCATATCATAAATGTTAATTTACCATAAGATTTTCTAAGCAGATTATTTTCTTATCTTGATAAAAGATACCAAGTGCGAAGGCACTAGCAACTTTCAGGACAGGTTCTTTATTAAACGACAACATACTGTGTTTTTTAATCCAGAGGTTTTTCTCAAAAGCAGCAGAAAGACACACTACAGAATCTCTTTAATGAACCTAAAAATTCCTGACTACAACAGATTCCATTGCATTAAATACCAGAAAATTGCAGCCATGGGTACTTGAAAACTTGCCATCTATTATGGTCTAGTTATTTGTCTCCTCCAGCCTCCACGTCCTCAGATTCTTTGGTTGAAATCTTAATCCCCAAGGTGAAGAAATTAAGAAGTGATGCATCTGGAAGATGATTTAGGTAATAGAACAGAGCCCTAATGAGTGGAACTAATGTCTTATAAAAGAGGCCCTAGGAAGCTTGTTTGCACCTTCCACCAGGTACAAAGGACTCAGCAGAAAGGTGCTATGTTGAATATATGTTGACTATATCAAGAACTGCTATAAATCAGCTGGACAAAGACAACACCAAACCTTAGAAAAATGGGCCCACATGAGTGTCCAGAGTTGAGTGGTCAGACAATACATGTTATTTTCACTAACATAACAAAGTTCATAACTGCAGTTTTATTTCAAGTGTTCTTGAGGGGGAAACTTAAAAGTTGATCGGTCCTGAGTGCAGTCAAGGTTACAGAAAAATGTCATGGGTACTCATCTCCTGCAGGTAGGAAAATAAACTGGCACAACCCCTGTGGAGAGATTAGCCAGTCACCTGAGTGTGTGTATCGTGTATGTCTCAGAGATGTTACTTTGAGGAGTATATCCTAGAAAAACTGACATTGTGTTCCTGGAGATGTTCAAGAAGATTATTCTTATGCCAGTTTGGGGTATTGAATTTAGAGCCTCCTACTCACTCAGCTTTCTGGCTCCCTATCACTTCAGTCCTATCCAGCCTTTATTGCTGGTTAACTAGGATAGAATATTGAAGACCTTCCTGCCCATCTGGCTTTGAAACACAATCCTCTAGATGTCAGCCTCCTGAGTAGCTAGGATTACAGCCACAAGCCACTGGCATCTGGCTTTAAGAGCATGATTCTTAGATGCATAACAGCATTAATCTGGAAGCAGCACACATGTCTATTGGGAGTGGAACTTTTAAAAAGCCCAACAATAGACTATTAATGATTAAATCGTAGCCACATGTATGTTATAAGGGAACTTCAGAAAAATATGATAACAAAATTAAAATGCATATAGTTATGGGGTATTCCTTGTGCTTTATCTATATATTATAAAATTATTTTGCATAAACTCAATATAAATAAGAAATGTAAACAAAGTTTGCTTAGCTGTAAACTAAAACATTTCACTATATGTTTGCATGCACAAAATTGCTCAATATACCTCAAATCACTATCAGAATTTTCACATGACAACAATAATAATAGATCATTTTTGTCTAAAGTTGTTATCTAAAAGAAAGCAATACCATAATACATATGTATACACACTTGCCAGCAAAGCATTTATGCTTCCTTGAGCTGCAATATTAAAACAGTGCGTACCACAGCCCAGTTTCTGCTGTTCTGAGAAAGCAGATTTGCATCCTGAGTCTTCATTTAAAACCTGTTGCACATTGCCAGTACATCTTCCCACATTTCCCCTGATGGTTTAAATATCCTCTGTGGGTCACAGAATTTGTTTTCACCAGGTACCTAGAGCAACCACCAACCCGGGACCAATTTAGATAGCATTTTTAGAAACTTCAACACATCATTGTTTATATTATGGTTCATGTTCACAGCAGTATAGAAAGAAAATACAGCTTCTTTACTTGTTAGTATACTACTAATATAGTAGTATGTTTATGTGTTGTAAATTTATGTAATTTATGTATTGTAAATGCTTGGTGTCATAGAGAAATAGTTGATGAGTTGTTATATAGATGTTTTTAAACACTTTAGAAAAACTAGATAAAGGGTTTGGGTTTTGTTTTGTTTTGAGTACTGGCTTTCAATTTAGTTGGGGTCCTGTGCTTGCTAAGTAGGTGCTCTGCTACTTGAGCCACACCTCCAACTCTTTATGTTATTATTATTTTTCTTTCTTTTTTTTTTTTTTTGTTGGTCGTGGGGCTTGAACTCTGG